CAGCTTGGCTTGGCATGTGTAGATGTTCTGAAACTCTGTTTTATGTCATCGCGTATTAGGTAAGAATCTGTGGATCCGGGTGAACCGGCCCTGACTTGGATGGCCCCGGCGAGCCCGATCTCATCAGAGCTCAGAAGCTAAGCAGGGAGGCCCCTGATCAGTACTTGGATGGGAGACCGCCCAGCAAGGCTCCCTCTAAGTTGTGGAGTCCTGTGAGCAAAACTTCTACTTTGTGAGCTGCTGGCATGAAAGTGGTGAGCGAGTGATTTGGCTACTGCATAAATTAGCTTGCTCTGGAGCCGTCTTTCCTGAGCTGAGAAAAAAATGGGTCAGCCAGAGTCTAAAAAACTGTGAGTTAGCTCACACTAACTCAGCTTAGAGGGAACACTGCCGCCAAGGTAGTCCAGAGTGCCACAGAGAGGCAAGCAATGGCAAACCACCTCTGTATGTCTCTTGACTGGAAAACCCTATAGGGGTTGCTGTTAGTCACCTGTAACTTCAGGGCCCATTCCACAACCAGGTTTTTTAAATTGAGGTTAACTGGTGTGGTTAGTCCAGTCACCACTAGTTAGCAGAGCGCTTAAATGAAACTACAAACGCTAGAGTGTCACTTTGCCAGGCTACTCAGCTTACAAAGCTACACAGAGCCACATTGCAAGTTTAGAAGAGAAATACTTCTCTCTTTGTCTGAGAAGTTCACTTTGGATAGGAAAGAGCAGAGATTGATCGATTAATAACTTACTGGCTAAAACATGGAGGCGGATAGCGAGAGGCCCATTTGTCTCATGTTGCTGAGAGAGGACCGCATGTCCCTCTCTTGGTGCATGCAGGTAGAGAGGAAGTCTTCATTCAGAGTGAGAGAGAAGCAGGAAGAGGAAAACTGGTCCCTGAGATCACAGTCTGCACATCAAAGAGGGCACTGGCAGAAGCATAGATACAGGAAGGAAGGTCAGTGTGCCTGTCTAGCTGTCTAGTCTCTCTTGCCACTCAGTCTGGCATCTGGACAATGCATCTGGAACTTCCAACATTTTGTAAGCTATATGTGGATTACCTGTGGAGTGTGGAAGCCGTTTAAAGAACCCTAAGTTATATTCTTGAGGGCCTGTTAACTCCCCAACTCCTTTCTGAGGTTCCCCCGCCCCCATTCGGCGGAGTGGAAACCAAGAACATTTCCTGGTGTGTTTTCAGGGGAAAGAATGCTTCTCTGTCAGAACAATACTCATTCTAACCCCCATCTCCTCATCCACACACGATGGTGTGAATGGTGTAAGCTACTGTGGTCCCTCGGAAGAGGCCTCTGCCACTGAGCAGGGAGCAAAAGGGACCCCTCCCCTGTCCTTCCTGATGGGTGTCATGAGGAGGTGGCAGAGGCGTGGGAAGGGGGGATGATGTCAGCACTGTACAGGAGCTGTGTCAGAGAGTCTGGGTCCTGCACAGACCTGGTTCCACCTTCTCTCACCACAACCTCCACTGTCACAGTGTGATGTCTTCTATAAGGGTGAGACAGGGTCTTGGTAGCAATGTCTTCCTAAGTCTCATACTTAGGAGAAAGGTGACCGTTGGTTGGTTATTTCAAAATAGCGTGGCTATGTTGGGAAATAATCTGTGTCCTGCTTCATGTAGACGGCATGGGCACCATCCAGTAGGTGCTCGTCATAGCAGCAATTCACAACAGTGATCTCAGCTCCATCCAGCATTTCTGAGTCATTGCCGCTGGGAATGCAGAGGCCTTTGCACAGGCAACGGAGCGTCCACACAGGTGTACTGCTGCAGCCGTCCCAGGAGACAAGGGCTGGGGTTCAGCGGGGCAGGTTACAGGCAAGGTTGCAAAGAGTAACCAGGGTCCAGTCCAAAAGTCAGGGGTTCCGGAGAGCAGGTATACCAAGTCCAACCACCTGACCAGGTGACCGATGACACTGACATCCGGAAACATTTGAAACTGTATACCAGATCACAATATCATTGGATGTCTTAAGTGTGAATACAGTTACTATGTGATAGCATCCATGGTCCACTTTATTAGTTAACAGCAAACGACACAATGTATGAGATAACATCACCTGGTCAGGATTTATGTATACTGTTTATTTTCCAGATGTGTGTTTAAAAACTATATGATATAATATTGACCACTGAGGAAGTCCTTTGAGGTAGACATGTGTATGGTCTTGGGTTGGTCACATTTTGTAGAGGAAATTATAACAGCATATGTGAAGCTTATTCTTTCCGACTCTTGGTGTAGCCTGTTAATCAGGCCCTTTGTTTTTAATCACACACACACACAACCTTTACTAACATAACAAGGTAAGAGACAACAAAATACCCGAGCGAGATTTGAGGGGAAAATAAAAAACAGTCTACAGAAATTCTCCAAAACAATCGGCATAGCAGAAACTAAGTACAGTTGGATCTTAATCTATGTATTGTGTACACCATGTATTTAACACATTCCTTTTGATACAAAAAATAATAATTTCCTGTAGCTTGTCCCTTGAAGCATTCTTGGCATATTTTGGTTGAGTTTGTTACCCCCCCCCTTCTTTGTTTTTTACGAGAAGAGACTCACCAGAAACCCCTAAGGAGATGGAGGGACACATCGCCCCCTCCTCCCAGTGATCTTGGCTGCCAGTTGCCTGCCTTTCTTCTTGCAGGGAGGCAGGAGGTGAGAAAGGAAGGAGAAAGCAGCAGCAGCGGCACCTCCTCTTGCTTCCAGTCGGCACTGCTTGTCCTTAGTGGGATCCAGCACCTGGGAGAGGAAGGAACGAGAAGTGCTGCTGCATCCTCCTGTTGCCACCAGCTTGGGGTTCACCCAGCTTCTCCTCTTTCTTGTGCTGGAAACTCCTGCCACCATCTACCACCTTCCCTCTTCCCTGATTTACGGCCTGGCTCCTTCTTTGCCCCCACCCCATCTCCATCAGTGGCTGCCTTCCTGTGAGCCAAGATCCACTTTTCAGGGCC